TGCAGCTTGAAGTATCTTTAACTCAGCTTAAAAATTAATAATCTATTCTCGTTTTTAATTTCTTGTTCCTTAGCCAATCTGACTGTGCAGTTAAAAACTTTGATTTAAATATACATTATGAAATAACACAAATGAGAACATATATATAAACATATATGCACACACATTTAAAGGTGTATATATGTATGTATATATATATATATATATATACACACACACAAACATGCACACATACACACAGGGAGAGAGGGAGAGGAGAGAGAATTGTGTATATACACACATGGGTGAAGTCTACGTAACAATAATGTTACCTCTTCTATTTATAGTATATTTTTGAATTTACAAAAACTTCCAATTTTATTATTCTATTTTGTTTTACATCTACACTGTATTATCCATTTTTCTATATTAAATAAAGTTAGAAAGATGGGGTTACAGCCCAAGGTGGCACAGCTAGTAAGCAGCAGAATTTAACCCTTCTGGTCTTCTGATTCACCCCATCTAAAGGCTCATAACATATACACATACACAACCATATATATAAGAATACACACAATTTAAACCATATCATTTAATGTCCTATGTTCTTTCTCCTAACAAATACAACAGAGAACTTCAAATAATTCTAGCCTGCCTAAATATTGTACCCCTGGGGCTACTTACTACAAGTGCTTTTTCTCATCATTTATTTACTGTCACTTAGGTTTTCAGAGTTGAGATTTCCTTATGAAATAAGAAAGATGAATGAAAAGATGGTGGCTTAAGACAAAGATGCCAAAACAATTGTATGAGAAAACAATTACCTTAATAACAGAAGTCTCAACCCTGGATGGGGGACTCTGAACTTGTGCTGCTGCCGCCATATTTGCAATGGTGCTGAGATGGTTCATCTGGCTCATTGCCATGGTGACAGATGCTGGAGGTAGGCTGACAGGTATTAGGGGGTGAGGCATCATCATAAAAGGAAGTTCCAGACCTATAAAAAATATGCGTATATCATCATTGCTCTGTTCCAAATAAAACTAAGAAATGTGGTATATCTTATTAAAATCATTAAGGACATGCATCATTAAAAACTGAAACATTCAGAAATGTTCTAACAATGATAGTCAAAGAAAAAATATTTTTTCTCTTTATATGCAGCAATACCCACTCACCACTCAGGGAAATTAGGTATAGAGCTAATTAGTTTAGTATATTACCACTCTTCATGTGTTTATTACAAATGGTCATTCCTTGCTATAAAAGAAAAAATATTTTTTCTCTTTATATGCAGCAATACCCACTCACCACTCAGGGAAATTAGATATAGAGCTAATTAGTTTAGTATATTACCACTCTTCATGTGTTTATTACAAATGGTCATTCCTTGCTATGTTTTTCCTCTAATCAGTCTAAAATCCCGTTTAAAATATTAAGGTTTTCCCTAACTTAAGATTAGTTATCTAAATGTAGTACACCTCCTTATTATGTTCTATTTTACTATCTGATAACTACAATTTTTTTTTAAAAGGACCATTTTTAGTGCTAAAAAGTGCCATCGTACCATTTGGCAGAAGGTGGCTCTGCTGAAGATGGTTGAGAGGACGACTAAGTGGAAGGTTATGTGCTCCAGGCATGCGGGGGTGGGCAACAGAAGCCCGAGACCCCAGGGATGGGGAAGAGTGCAGTGCTTCCTTATCCCAAGAACCATCACTGTTGCCTGCGGGGAACGAATATAAATTATTTGGATACAGTACTATTCCAAGTCTTCCAAAGACTAATTTAAGATGAGATTTTTGAATAGTATATCACATTTGGAAATTGGCAAACTGATTTCTAGGGAAATAAGAGGAAGTAAATTTCCCTTAAAATCTACTTTTCCTTTTGTTTTTCTATTTCTTTGATGCAATCTCGAATTTTTGAAAAATAATATTTATGCAACATTTCACTTATTTTTGGAGTCTAATCCTGTTTGACTACCCAAGTTAACATTAAATGGGGTCTATTACATAACCAGATAATCAATTATTCCTTGAAAGTGAAGCACACTGATTGTTATAGAATGCAGTTATCCTTGTAGTAAATGGTATCCTAGTCATCATTTCAAGTTAAAGCGCCTAACTTAATTCCACAGCAAATCCTGAAAATAAAATCGTTAAATGCCCAACTTGATTAGACACCATACAGAGAACACAAAAGACTACTTTACAAAAGGTAATAATGACCAAGCAAAAACTAAGTGTGCATGCATGAATGTGTGTAAATAAATATATTACTTGTTTTCAAATAAACAGAAACATAAATTTATAATTGTGGTGATATCAGTGCCAAAATCAAAACCATACATTTGAGGGCTTGCATTTCAATTTTGGTGACAATATCTTAGATTTAACTAGATCTTGAAATACCTTAATAGAATAATCGTTGGAAAGTATTTATAAATCATTTCAATTTAGACATGTCCCCAAATTAAATTAATACAATGTTACTTTATTCCTTAACTTAATCTGTTGAATATACAAAACTACCCACTTAAAGAAAATGCCCTTAATATGCTGTCAGTTTATGAGTTGTGCATTTATTTAAAAAAAAACAAAAAAGCATATTTTCATATAACCATTCATGGAAACAGAAAAGTTGGTAAAACTCCAATTTAATGCTTTAGCTCTACTAAAAGCCTTGTAAAATCTCTACGACATAGTTTTTAATGAAGAATACTTAGTCACTGCCATGATTTTCTTTCATTTACTTCATGAAGACAGTTAAGATTCAATATAAATTCAAACTCATTAGCTCAATACTGTCTGGATCTTAGAATAAATTGTTCAGAAGTGGGTAATGAAAACTCAATTCAAATTCTTCAGCAATCAAACAAAGCAATTTTATTAAACAATGAAAAGAATCAATTAAAATGGATATCTTTATTATCTCTTTATTATTTTACAAGAAACCATGACAGCTTTTGGCTAAAAAAACTTAATAGCTTCATATAGAAATGACTTACATAAAAGAAATTCCACCAACTTGCTCCTTCACTGTGATATAAAGGTTTACTTTCATACTCACCCATTTATATACCTTATTTCTGTACTTATGACTTTTTTGACACTTATGCCAAGTCAAACAT